TACAAAAGAATAAAGACTAACCTTTGAACCTTTCGGGCCTGGTGCTCCTGGTTCCCCCTGCTCTCCCTTATAATTATTTGAAAACAGTTAAAGACTTATCATCAACACATTCAGAGGCAACATGATAAAATATCAGTTGTGTGTGTGGTCAGATTAATTATGGTCCATGTTACTGGTTGAGCAATAAGATGATTAAATACTGGTGCATAAACAAATAAATGTCTTTTTTTCTCAAAGGCCCCCTTGAGAATTACAGAGGTGGTAATATGGTTTACACCATATAACATTTTAAGACTTAGTTTTCTTGAGGTAATAATCAGAGATTGTTTATTTGACCTTTGGAAGACTGTCTGTCAATTAATGGCTTTTATCTGACGGCTGGAGATTCATTATGTCTCATGTGTCTTTTGTTTATTTAGACTGGGTAAAGAACTCCTGCAGAAATTACCCACAGCATAAACACAGCTAATTGACTGTTCGCAGGGAGCTTGATTGACAGGCGATCTTACCAATCAGAACACGGATATTATGTGGTGCAGCTGCTATCCGCAATCTTGCCCGACATCTACGGCCAGTCTCCATAGAAATCCATGTTAAAACGGGGTAAAAAAGATCGACTGAATTGAAACTTTTTCAATATAACTAAATATAAATATGTAAGGAGTGTTAAGCTGTGCTGTTGTTGGCTGCCACAGTAACGGCAATAAGCTAAGGAATTCCTTTAAAGTACCTGTTTTGCGTACCAGAAAACCTGTCATGTCCGGCGATGGCTTCCAGTGCTTAAGTTAAAATACTGAGTGTGAAATAATAAAATGATTATCAGGAACGTGCACAGACATTTTGAGGGGCAGGGGCTCAAGTGGAAAAAAGGAAAAATATTTTTCTAAACAAAACGTTAAATATATTAACACAACTCTGACTTACTTACCAATTTATTTTAATTCCCTCACATTATTGTTTCATTTTTCAACAGATGTCTACAAAATAATCAGTTCACATAGAGAGACCATGCATGGTCTTCTTTAATTTTATCACAAGAACAGGCAACAACAAAGATGCCACAAAGAAATCCATGTTAAAACGGGGTAAAAAAGATCGACTGAATTGAAACTTTTTCAATATAACTAAATATAAATATGTAAGGAGTGTTAAGCTGTGCTGTTGTTGGCTGCCACAGTAACGGCAATAAGCTAAGGAATTCCTTTAAAGTACCTGTTTTGCGTACCAGAAAACCTGTCATGTCAGGCGATGGCTTCCAGTGCTTAAGTTAAAATACTGAGTGTGAAATAATAAAATGATTATCAGGAACGTGCACAGACATTTTGAGGGGCAGGGGCTCAAGTGGAAAAAAGGAAAAATATTTTTCTAAACAAAACGTTAAATATATTAACACAACTCTGACTTACTTACCAATTTATTTTAATTCCCTCACATTATTGTTTCATTTTTCAACAGATGTCTACAAAATAATCAGTTCACATAGAGAGACCATGCATGGTCTTCTTTAATTTTATCACAAGAACAGGCAACAACAAAGATGCCACAATGTGCATGTTTTCTATGCTACTAGTTTCAAGTATATATTTAGTTATTTTGTTTATCCTATTTATCTGCAATTCCTTGTGTCAAATGTATGCAAATTAGCGTATTTTAATTACTTAACGCCTGATTTGCATATCAATGTGGCGGTTCTGATGAAGTTATTAATTTTACTGTATTCAGCTGTCGTTTCTCCATTAGGTTAGCCTGTATGCCTATGATGATATATTGCCTTAGCTAAACTTTAGATTACACGGTAGCCCAGATAGCAAGCAGACGTTGATTCAACGTCAATTTTTGGTTGTAACGGTCAGTATCAGTCGTCAGTCAAATTTCGATGTTGAATCAATGTTCTTTATTTGGTCGGTATCAGAGGGATACGTATGAGTTTAGAGTCACGGTGTGTCTTTCATTTAAGTAAAAGCAAGTAAGTTTATGAAGCCTAAAATTGACAGTATGTGAGCCCTTCACAATGCAAAATGCAAAAACTAATGTGATGTTCTTCCTACTGGACATGTTTATGCATAAACCCAAGTAATAATTGAAAACTTCATAAGAATATGGGTCATAAATTCAAAATCTCTGTCACTAACTTGCCTAGTGGAGAAGAGGAGAGAAGTGTCCTCAACTAAGCTTGGTAATAGCTGATCACTAAATAAATTAATAAAAGAAAGAAAGAACCGTAAACTCATATACTAAGCAAATAGTTGACCTATTTAATATTTCTTTAATATTGTATATATTGTCTTTAATATTTGTGACACAGTTTCCTTGATTGCTTAACTTAATGACCAGATAGGGAGGCTTTAGCATGACTTTGTGTCGCAGATCACAAATAATTTGGCTGAGTTCACTGGATTTCACAACAGTTTAACTCATGGGATTAGATGGAGTTTAAAAATTCCAATTGGATGCTTGTTTCAGGTGCTTGGTCTGTCTTCAAGCCAGGAGTTGTTAGTGCAGTCAACATTGTTCATACACAGTGTTCTTTTCCCACAGTGGATCCACCTGCCAATATTGAGATAACAGACCCTGGCTTCCTGGGTTACCTCAGTGTCCACTGGACTCAGCCAGCCAGCCTTCAGAACCTTACAGGCTGCACAGTACGATACCAACTCAGATACTATGACACCTATGAGGAACGATGGAGGGTAAAAATCCTCGAGAACTCACAGAACACACCACACACCGTCTCATTTGTTTTCCTTTCAGCACATAAGCATTTATACGTTAGTGTCGTTTTTACTTAATGCATGCCACACTCAGAAATTTTTTGAAATAACTATGCTATGAAGAATTCTAAGTTTATTTTGTGGTCATTTCTCTGAAATTGTTCTGACACCACATTACTAAAGCTTTGTTCAATCTTGCTGGATAAACCTGGTCTAGTATTTCATCATTTTTGTGACTCATTATCAGCCAAATACATGTTTCTTTCTGAACATTTGTACTTGTTACATTTAGTGCTGTAATCTAAATAAAAAAGATGGTTCAGAGCCAAATCAGTAAATATGCATTTGTCTCTGTTCATAAATCATGGTTCAGTAAACGTCCTACACAACCTCTTAGTAAACCAAAGACAGTTAAGTGTTCCATGGAACTCCTCAAGATTCAGTCTGAAACTCCTCAGTCAGAGCCAAAATCTGGGTTTCATTTAATGCAACCCCTCAGAGAGAACAACTCCCTGCGGGTGATGTACTTAGTATTCAGAGAGACATATTTGTTCTAAAGCATCTTCAAAACATAGCAGCTTTTCATGCTTTATGTATACTGATATCATGCCGTTATTCTTGCAAACGTAGTGATTTATGACTCAAAATGTCCCTCTTTTTGTGTTGTACAGAGTGTTCGAACTGTCAAGCTGACTTATGCTGCTCAGTTTGATCTTGAGAAACCAGTCAAGGTGAGAATACTCACTGTGCTGAAGTGTGCCTGTACCAATGGGACAGAGGTCCAAGGGGAGGAGAACGAGTGGGTCTACACACCTGAAACTACAGGTAAAGATTCAAAACCTATTCCACCCCACTGAAGCGAGCAAGAGCAAAGATCAACCATATATAGTGTATTGTGATTGCAAGGAATCTAACTGAAGCCCTAATTTATTCCTTACATTATTTGCTTCATTTAAACATGCACTCAGTAAGTTAATCACAATCATTTTACCTCTAAAAATGGTTACTTTTGAAAAACATGTTAAAAACAACCACCTATGAAGACTCTAACATTCACCGTACGTAGTAATAAATAGAGCTATACTCACTGTGCTGAAGTGTGCCTGTACCAATGGGACAGAGGTCCAAGGGGAGGAGAACGAGTGGGTCTACACACCTGAAACTACAGGTAAAGATTCAAAACCTATTCCACCCCACTGAAGCGAGCAAGAGCAAAGATCAACCATATATAGTGTATTGTGATTGCAAGGAATCTAACTGAAGCCCTAATTTATTCCTTACATTATTTGCTTCATTTAAACATGCACTCAGTAAGTTAATCACAATCATTTTACCTCTAAAAATGGTTACTTTTGAAAAACATGTTAAAAACAACCACCTATGAAGACTCTAACATTCACCGTACGTAGTAATAAATAGAGCTTTTTTTTTTTTTTTACAAATAGCAGGTCATTTCATTGTGTTTGGAGATCACATACTAATCTCTGTGATTCCTGTTATTGATACTTTTGCTGACAAAAATATTCATGGCTGGTGGGAAATAGAGCATTTGGTAACTAAAAATGTGTGCCTTTTTGCGAGTATCTGATCGTAAGCTCCAGATAATGAAAATAGCAAATTAGGGGGGAAAAACGTCGGACAGACTGCACAGGAAGACTCAACAAATATCAGCAAGGCCATGCAAACATACTGCATTTGCTTAATGCTGCATTCACGCCAGGTCGTAATTACTGTAATTTCAAGATGACAACATGTGGCTTTTTACTTGGAGCTGTTCACACCCTTAGACTCGAAACTTGATGCCTATAGCGCCTAATGAATCTGATGTCGTCAGGTGGTACAAGTTGTAGCTCTCAGAAAATTCCCAATTCACAAGTTGTAATACCATATGGCCTGAATGCACCTTAATGCTGCATTCATGTCGTAATTACTGTAATTTCGAGATGACCACACGTGTCATTCTACTTGGAGCTGTTCATACCCTTGTATTCGGAACTATCGCACTATCAATGCCTAAATATAGCGCATAATGAATCTGAGGTGGTCAGGTGGTACCGTTTTGTGGCTCTTTAATGTGTCGTGAGTCATGACAGATCGATGTAGTGCCTCAGTTCAAGCGGCTTGTGAACCGATCATCTCTTCCTCTTTACTAGTTATAGCATGAAATAAATATGTATGACCATCAAAATGTATCTTGTTTCAACCGTGTAAATATGTCAATACACACTATTTTTGCTCTGCAGTCTGTTCAGAGATTGTCTTACTATAGGGAGATAAGAGGGTCTATATTACTCACTATTGGAGAAAGTGTCACGTGTAACTTAATAACCAATCACATTACAGCCTTGCCGTCATTGAATTTCAGTCAGAATTTTACGACACTCAATCACCATTTATGGATACCATAGGAATGAATGGGAAGTGCCGTAAGCTGAAGGCAGATAGGCTGTCAATTCATTCAATTATAAGCCATTTCCTCTAAAAAGCTGTTTATTCAGCGTAGTGAAGCCTCTCCTCCATTGACATCCATTCAAACAAAATGGCCTCTGGTCTCCTTTCCCACGTAATGCCAAAGCGTAAGCCATTATGCTTTTTTGGCTATGGGTTGCAGGCTTGCCTTGTAGTGATTTTGGTCAGGTTGCTTGTCAATCAAACTTCCTGCAAAGGGCCATATCTGGACATTTAGACGTATACATTTATTATTTAAACATAAATAATTACACGCCTTTTCAATTTAAAGTGTATTGCATAAGCGAAATACTAAAAAGAACATAAAAAATAGGAACATGCTAGTTTAAACACACCCATCTGGTATCTATTACACAAACATTTTCATAATATTAATGTCCTGTTTTCAAGGAAAGTGCTTTTGAGGAGTGGACCAGCTGTTGCATGAGTTAGATTGAGTCTTTCTATGAAATGATCAGCTGAATCTCATTATAGACCTCACTGTCTGCTGGATTACATTACCTTAAATTTGATAATAACTGCAAATTTAATTGATTGAGCTTGATAAGTATTGTCATTTAATGTAATAATTGTTATCACCTGTTAAAATAAACATGTTATCACCTGTCTCAGGTGTGGCGGGATCACGAATAAGAGATTTTCACTGTGTCTACTATGGGAAGGAGTACATGGAATGCACCTGGGAGTCAGGACCCGTCCAACCTCCAAATTCACAGCACTACCTCTATTACTGGTGAGCACTTCCATGTGAAATGCTGATTACAAACACCATTAAAGCATTCCAAACGCTTTTTACAGATGCATCAAGGGCTTTTTCACTGTCTGTGCCTCAGGGGGAGCAGAGGACAGGTTGAAGCACAAGTCATTTTACTTGAATGTACTGAGCAACCTTATAGAGTTCAGTGTTCAAATGACAAAGCTTCCACTGTTTTATCTGTTCCATGGAAAAAGAAACGCTATGCTTACTAGAGTATACAGTACACACATTTGTTTTTGGCAAAGTTTAACATAAGCCAGTTTGGTTGGTGGTCATGGTTGAAACACTAGGATCTGATCACTGCATTCCACTGCACTACAGGTCAAGAGTCAGGACTGCTTAGCTGGAACGAGCAAGTCTCTAGTTCTTTCTGTAAATTTATGTAGCAGGTCAACAGAATCTTCAATTTGATGTTAAAATACGATTTAAAACCCAACATCTGTTCATACTCTGAATCTCTAAGATCAATAGCATGCATAATTTTCTTTCTAATGATATCTAATGATGCACATAGAAACAAACAAATCAGTTTTATGTTGATATCCCACGTTTTGAATAATAAAATAAGCACACTTAAAGACTCAACTTGATGAGTAAATGTATATCTGTTCTTCCAGGCACAGGGAAATGGATGAAACAAAGGAATGTCCAGAATACATCATATTATCTGAGGGTCGAAGGGGATGCCGGTTTCCTCGAGAATCACTCTTGGAGTTCTCTAAGTTTAATTTATGTGTAAATGGATCCTCTCCAGCAGGAAGTCTGAAAATGGCCTACTTCTCTATTGAGGTCCAAAACCATGGTAACTACAGACTGCTTTATACCTGACAGAACAAACTTCACAATGAGTCTAGAAACTGCAAAATCAGCTAACTAGGGACATATGGTCTGACTCGGTAGTAAAAAAAACATATTCCTCATTTTCTTCTCACTTTCTTTCTCTTGCAGTAAAACCAACAGTGGTCTCCTCTGTGCATGTCTCAGAGATTGATGGAGAGCTGAAGTTAGATTGGTCACCACCTAGTGGCCAGGTGCCAGAACACTGCTTGGAATATGAGGTGGAGAGCAGCATTACGATGGAAAATGGCAAAGAAAAGCAGGTATTTTAATAGTTCTGTTTTTCTTCTATCCAGTGCAGTTAGATGATTAAAATCATCTGATAAATAAAAATCACAGTAAAAATAAACATTATCCTCAGCTCTACTTTTCATGTTTTTGTGGTTGTTGCTGCATATTTTAGGTGTCTCACATTTGAAACATGCAGTTCAGATTATAGAGTACTAATGGGCTGATAAGAATCTGACATATTAGATAAGGGAAACATCCGAAATGCCTTCAGGAGAGGGACTGAGAAACACTGATGACAAGACTCTCTTGTCTAAAAGTCTTTTTATAGCTTTGTAACATCTAGAAATTTGTAAACAACACTTGTTGACATGAACACCTGCCATTCATTTGCATTTCATTCTGAATCTTGGCATGCATTGTCAAACCAAGATTTGATTTAGCTAATGTGCCAATACAAACACCAAAAAAAGAGCCAAGAATCCAGTCTGTCAAAAGCATGCATGAGGTCTTTTTTTTCCCTTTCAGGAAAAGATGGTTCTTCAGAATTTAGAGGACACATCTTATGGCGTCCCGAGAGAGGCGGAAAGTCAGAAAACCTGCTTTCGAATCAGGTCAAAGGTGAACATGTACTGCGCTGATGGAGGATTTTGGAGTGACTGGAGCCAAACAAAGTGTACAGGTTAGACCTATTGATTAAAGAGTGTTCTGTCATTCTGATCTTGTGAAACTTTTATAAGTGATACGTGTTTATGAAGATTTAAAGATAGTTGTTTTATTTAATGTGCTCTTTTCAGCTTTTGAAAATATTTATGGTTAACACATCCAAAGATGTTAGAACATCAAGTCAAGTCACCTTTATTTATATAGTGCTTTTAACAATACAGATTGTGTCAAAGCAACTGTACAGCATTAATTAGGAAAGTATTGGGTCAATAATGCAAAATGACAACAGTAAACACTAATTTTCAGTTAAAGGCAGTTCATCATTGAATTCAGTGATGTCATCATCCAGCTCAGTTCAGTTTAAATAGTGTCTGTGCAATCAAGTCGACGATATCGCTGGTAATTAAGTGTCCCCAAGTAAGCAAGCCAAAGGTGACAGCGGCAAGGAACCAAAACTCCAACGGTGACAGAATGGAGAAAAAACCTTGGGAGAAACCAGGCTCAGTCGGGGGGCCAGTTCTCAGAAATGGTCCTTAGATTGTAAATAGTCCTTTCCATTTTAAACGTCTAATGTTAGTTTGATCATTCATGTCTTTTTCCTCCTGTCACCATCAGAAGATAAGGAAACTCAATACATCCCAAAATGGACATATCTCGGTCTGGTGGGCCTGGTGGTCATTGGCATTGCTGGAGTCATCATCCTCTGTCTTTCATTATGGATATTAAAGAAGATGTAAGTATATGGCCAAAAGATTTATTAATAAATAAACAAACACTTACAGATTCTTTGATAGGATAATTCTTCATTGATTTTACATTGACTCTAAAACTCATTTCTATTCCTACAGTTGCATAAAAAAGATCAACAAAAAGGATGCCCTCTATACTTTATACAAGGAGAAGGTCAACGAGACCATGCTCACTATCCTCAGCCCCATTTTCAAGTGATGCTCCCTTTGACCTGCTATGCTGAATTACCGTTTAGCAGTTCTAGACTGCAGTAAAAGTACAATACTCAGACAGAGAAACAAACATGAGACGTGAGACGTCAACACCCTTAAAGTGATAGCTGATAGAACCAGTAGTCTTGTGGAATAGGTATGTGGAGACCTAAATGAACCACAGCACTGACCCGAATGTATGAACCACTTTGGTTTAAAAGACACTATACTACTATGTGATGTGTTTACGCACATATCATGTGTTACTTAAAGTTACTCAAAGATTTTTCAAATGCCAATGATCTTGCCGATTTTGCCAATCATCTTGATATTTTAGCCAATGATTTTTCAAATTCCAATGATCTTGCCAGTTTAGTCAATGATTTTTCAAATGCCAGTGATCTTCAGTTTTATTTTCCTATCAGCTTTTTTGCTGTTTCACTTTGATGTATGTCATGACTCTTTTAGTATTTGAGTTTATTTTACTGCTGATTACATAATGAAGGAATCAGGAGTAAAGAGTATTCATACACTTTGGAAAAAAAGTGCTTTTTTTTTTTGGAAAAAATTATTAAAATCAAATTTTCTTGAATTTATATCCTGTTTGTGTAAGTTTTTACAACAGATACTTTCAACAAGAAGTCTGTAAAACATCCACAACCCACCACTACAGTGTGCACAGATATGCAGTTAAAGAACATATTTCCATTCTTGTTCAATTCCTAATCAGAACATCAAAGCCCTTCCTGTTGATCATCATCACTTCCTGTGCTGACTAGGCCTGGTGAGTATGTATGGTGACTGGAATGGTGATGTTTGGGTGGGTCATCATGATGTCACACAGTATAGTACAAATGACGCACTGCATTACCTCCAAGAAACAGGGTGTCGCTTTATTCATAGAATTATCACTCATGCTACAAGCATTATTGTTTTGACAATGCTCTACATTTACATGCCATCAAGCCACAGTTCTCTAATAGTAAACCAACTTACTTTCTTTAACTTACTGATGTAATATTGATGGATCCTAGTGTGGTATCCACACCCTGCTCACTTGACTCAACTTGCCTAAAAATAAGAAGTTATTAAAGGGATAGTTTTCCCAAAAGTGAAAATTCTGTCAGCATTTACTCACCCTAATGTCAATACAAACCCATATACATGTCTTTATTTCTTCGGTGAAACACAACAGAAAATGTCTGAAAAATGTCTCAGTGTTTTGTTTTGTTTTTTTCATTCAGTGATATTGTTTTTGACCCTGTTTACTTTCATATATGGACAAGAAAGATGAACGTTTCATGAAAAGATCTTATTTTGTTTTGCACTTTTTGTGTTTTGTCAAAAAGCCTTTTGTTTGATGGCCAGTGTGTAGCAGATCTTAATTTGGGCATGTCTAATTCATTGATAGAATTAGGTATTTTCATTCTTGAATATTTCATTTGCACCATTTGTGTTCTGAGAATGTGGTATTCAAAAAAATATTGAAAAAAAATGAAAATATTAAAATGAATGAAAATTTTGTAACACTGATTTAAACATGAAAAGACTGAAGTAGTATTTTCTTATAAAACATACATGTTTTATTTACAACTTCAAAAAACATTTTTTTACAGTGTACAGCAGTATATAATAAATAACTCTTTGTTAGAGTATTTCCATGTTGAATTCAAGTTGGGCCACTTATTGATATTGATATGCTCTAATTGTTCCAAATTCATCCTAATTTTGTATCAAATGTTTAAACTGTGAAATTGTACATTTGTATAAATAAATACATAAATAAATCTTGTACAATAGTCCATTTGTGTTACTATAACCCAAGCAAGTATATGGTCATTGAATTCATCTTGTAAGGCAGGTTCCTGCAGAAGCCTACCCGTAACTTAAGATAACTAAAGGTTTATGTTTGTACCGTAGTTAACAGTCATATTTGCTTTAAGTATGGAATTTAAATTGACTGACAGCAGTGAACATTATCAGTGAAGTAGTAAAGCACACCCTCCTCAGTCTTGAAACACCAAGTTGACTTGAACAGATAAAGATCATCAATATTGTAATCCTCTATTCAACAATCTCACGATATCAACCTTGATAATCTCCTAGAGCTATAGTATTCACTGGAATAAGGAAAATGAACCAAGTAATTTCCAAGGAAAGCTGCACATCAACCTTGACCACCAGCAAGCATGAGAGTGACACACAGGTGGCCATTCATCAGAAAGTGGAAGACAAAAACATCAGTGAAACTGTGACTCAAAATGAGTCGAAGGTGAGCCATCCAATGTGAATACCACAATACACTCACCAAGTATGATTTGATTCATGAGCTCAACAATAAAAAATGAATACAGACTAGATTGCTGAAGATGATACATGCACCTGCAATATCCTGTAGTGGAGGTACTTCCAGAATGCCATATCCCAAACACTGCAAGACACACAGCTTGTGAAGAACCTCAGTGATGCATTGTCTACGGCATCTCCCAAGAGTCACACAATCAAACTCTGAGAGTTGTTTAATAAATTAAAGACTATCTATAACTATCTATCACTATCAAACACAATTGTGAATTCAACAAGCAAAACTGTTTAGGTGTATAAACATAGGTGTATAGAAGCAGATGAGTCCAGGATAAGAACGTAACGCGCGTTTAGCGTTTTCCTCCCATAGAAAACCGTTATAAGGAAAACGCTTAACGAGTAACGTTAATTACAGGCCTAACGTTACAGCTAATCACAGTCTGTCGGATTCTGGAGTGTAGTAGAGTTTTGAATAAAATTATAAAGAATAAATAAATTAATAAATAAATAAAATTACATTACAATATCACTCACCAGAAAAAATGGATCCCAGACTTGGACGGCCTGTTAGTACAATTAACCGCACAACAAGACATTTTATTTGATAATTTTAAGAAATAATCACGAAAATAACCCATAGACTGAATAAAACAAAAGCAGAAACACGGCAGAGATGCCAAGTTCAGCGGCTGATAGAGACAGCAACGTCAATCCACCTGTCACTCAAGTGGCCACGCCCTTAATTATGCAGAATTTTAAGGCTTAATATAATTTAAACGGATGAGTTATAAAAAAAATTCACCCCCCTCACAGTTGTCATGAAGGGCAAAATTAGCTATATAGACCAAAATCATTTTTCGAACCAGGCTGTAAACATGCTTTTTTCTGAGGTAAAGTTGGGCATTTTAACATGGGGAGTCTATGGGATTGACTCCCTTTTGCAGCCAGTCTCTAGCGGTCAGTTGATGAATTACAGTTTAAGTCACTTCCTTGTTGGCTTCACAAGAGAGAGCGGGAGGTTGCCGCTCGATAAAAACAGGCTATCACACACCTGACCTGACCATTTTTTTTCCTGCCCTTATTTGTATCGACCAGCAGGTGTCCCTAGCGTGCATTTAAAGCCTCGAGAAATGAACCATAGACCCATCTGACTGTAAAGCTTCAAAACTTCATGAACCTCCATCACGCCACCACTTGAATTGAAGATTGTTGCGACGTTTCACAGGAAACCAGCGCTTTTCTGTGTGTGAAACAAAGAACGCTTATGATGCGTGGGCGTGATATATAACAACTGCCACTAAATTCCTGTTCTCTATGTGCAGTCCAGTCAAGTTCTACATGTAAAGTGTATCTATTGGGAGCTCGTTGTGTGCATGGAGGCAGTGTGTCATGCTGGATTAGAAAAAGGTCTTTCCAAACTGTTGCAACAATGTTAGCAATTCTCTACAATGTCATGATGCAACATTAACATCAGCTTTCATTAGAATTACTGAAATAGCAAAACCATTCTTTAAAAGGGGGATTGCGTACTATTGGCTGTAAAGCATATATTCTATGTTAGCACTGTGCATAATTTATTTAAAATTTGAATACGCTTATTGATTTACTGACTACTCGTTCTGCATATGTGTTCTGCTCTACATAAAGTATATGCAGATGCACACATTAAGTATTTGAATGTAAATAATACTAATTATAATAATCACGATTACAATATTAAGGTAAATAATCTACAGTCGTATACAAATGTCACAAGCCCAGTAAGCGTGTATTTAGTTGATGATTAAATGATAGTACAACGAATTGTTTATTATTCATTGATGTTCAGCCAAGGGCTACAGCACCCTCCGTTGGTGACTAATTATACAAACCATGCAGAGAGCTCCTTGGACCAGTTATTCTTATTGGTCAAATTTCTGGTGCTTGTTTGGGTATTGGGAATGTTGCTGTCAGTTGAGTATAACAGCAGGGGGCAGCACAGGACAGATAATGTGTCCATGTTCATCTCTTCACACCCTAACCACATAAATCTTAACGAATCTGACATTTTCACAGTGGTCATAACTCACAAGTCATTTAGTTGCACGAAAAATGCTTTTGTTGTGGTTGATTAAGCTTCAAAACCACAAAAATAATAAGCATTGTATTTTCCTGTTATTCACGTTCCTTTCTAGGCTGTGGCTTGTTGTAGCAGTTGTTGTTGTTGTTGTTGTTGTTTTAACATGAGTGTTATTGGAATTTCTGTTATGTTATTCTGGTTATTTGCTCAGCCACTAGAGACATATGTTAAATCATGTAATGGACAGACCAGGAAGTGTGAAGGCAGGATGTAGAAAAGGAAGGAAGGGGAGGACGAAGGGGTGTCAGTAATAGACGTAGGAGTTATAGAGTTTGCAGATGTTTTTCTTGTGTATTATTTTTTTACAATGGTTACAATGACATTCCAATGCTCCTCTGAGAACAGTGTCGTTTTTTGCTTGCAAACACTTTTCCTGCACCAACCTAATAATAAAAAAACAAAAAAATAAATCCATCGTGTCTGAATACTCATAATATGACATGATGTACTTATTCAGGACTACTCATTTCAAACTTTTGTTTATATGGATGTTAGTTTAAAGTTACATTGTAATGGAAGCAGTGAAAGATCTTTTCTTCTGTATTGTGATGTACACCCAGGTGAAATGGATCATTACTTGTGCAGTCCATTGGTTGTTGAGTAGATGGAAGCATATCTGATAGGAGCTTGGCTGGTTGTAAGAAAGGGGCAGGGTTTAAGCGAACTAAATGACTGGGGAAGTCTGGCATACAACACCAGAGAGAAGTCTGTTGTTTCACCAGAAGATTATGCTATGACATTGAAAAATGACCATATGCATGGATGAATTGCTCACAATAAGATCAATAACATGCATTTAGAAAACAGGGTAAATTTCCCTTTTATTCCAACCTTAATTTAGAGACTGTTTTGCTTTATGAGTGTGCTCTGTCCTTGTTTTAGGAGGCATGCCAGTGAGCGAAACGGTGATCAGTGTGGATATGTACAGTATACAGTATGTGTATGTGTACATGTCTGTATTTGAGTGTGCAAATATACTAGTCAAATGTTCTGGACACACTTAACTGAACATTTGTTCATAATGAATAAATTTTTTTTTTTATTTTTATTTTTTTTTTATAAACCTTGGTCTGAAGGTATGGAGACAAATATAAATTGTGCCAACATAAGAATTTCTTTAAAAAACTAAA